ACACACACACACATATATATATATATATATATATATATTAAAAAAGCTTGGGATACTGGGCCGTAATAAGGTAATAAGGGAATTAAAGCTGTCCCAAAATTACTTGTGAGATGCCACTCTACTCACACAGCGATGCCTCCAACAAAGATTTCTCTGCTTTTACTAAGATGGTTGCTAAGACTTCTTAAGATGGACTAAGACGGCTGTCGAGCTGATGCCGTTTAAAAAAGTTCTGAAATATTGTCTAAAGTGCCAGTATCACAATTCATTTGTGCGAAAGAGCAACGCCTGGCGCATAATTTCATGGAGATTTACTCGCCGTGTCATCGCTCAGGGCTCACGCGGACTATGTCTTCCCCTCCTCTTTTTTCCTGTCCAAATCAAAGCGCACGAGTTGACTTCGCGGAGATAAATTTGAAGGTAGCTGCAAGAAAATGAATGGTTAGTGGCACAAATCCTGACAGAGCAGCGGTCAAACGCCATTAGTCACAGGTCTTAGCCCACAGGCTTTGGGATTCACCTCTTTTGGTGCATCTGACAGAAGAGAGCGTCTGTCCCAATAAAAGCCTCCAAGGAGAAATCCTTTTGTTCGCACCTTTTCTCGTTTTAGAATATATTTGATCGGTAGGCGTTGGCCATTTCCCCCCTGCGGTTCAGCCTCCAAGGAGAAATCCTTTTGTTCGCACTTTTTCTCGTTTTATAAGATATTTTATCAGTAGGCGTTGGCCATTTTCCCCCTGCGGTTCAGCAGCAAAACTTGAAAGGTTGTGCTTTGCCATAGCACATTAAATCTTATCCACGTGTGGCGCAGCATGTTCTCTGACCCAGCTCCTCACACAATGAATTTCCTATTTTTTACTCTCTGTAACTCAATGGAAGAAAATGTATGTGACCTATGAAGCCTTATTCACCTTATTGACCTTATTCAGTCAACCATTAGGGAAAGAAATGTTGTCTAGAATCTCTGAACAACTCCTCCGCAGTCCACGTCGCCATGTCTACATCTTTGCCAAAAAGATCAAGCTCTCCACAAACATCAATTTCAAACGATCCAAATTACTTGAAGTTTGGAGTGAATGCGATTCTCGCGTCAACAACACGAAACGGCAAGTTTCTTGTATGATTATATAGTATCACCTTAATGCTACTGATAAAGCGTCAAAAACAGTATTCGTGTTTGTTTTGTTTAAAACACGCTCATTAAGAACTTGGCGACATTTATGTTGTAAACGTATTTTATGTCACATTCAACTTGTAGCCTACATTTCATTTGATTAAAGTCCATTTTATTTTGTGTCATAGCTTCACCACCACCGTCAGTGCAAGGGATGAATGCGAAAACATTTCCGTTCCCATGTTTTGACGGATCATTCCACCCATTCATCAGAGCATCATATTTCCCAGGTGGGTTCCTAAAAATCGCTGTGTCATTTCTTAATTCGGTCTAACTGATGGGCCTTCAGAATTTGCTTCCAATGCTGGAATTTGTAGGACATTGTGGAATCAGTCTCGCTAATTTGATGCCCTATTTAGCAAACGCAGTGACTGCTGACATTTTGCACCGCTTCCCCTAATCCACAAATTAGCCGGAATTGTCATGGTCCCAATTTAAGGCGGGTCCGCTCTCACAAGCAAACTGTTGGCGTCTCTTCATCGCAGCCTTTTCCCACCGAGCCAGTGTACTTAGTTACTGATTGGCAACAATGCTTTCAGCACCATGACCAATTGGTCAGCTCCCTTTGGGCAGCCACACAGACCCGTCGTTGACTTAAGCATGCTGCTGATAGGCATTTACCAGTCATGGACTAATTCCCCTATTAGCTTCTATTCAGTGTTTCAATATTCTCACAAGACCACATAGAGTTTGGGGAGTCTTCACGGGACGTCCGAGCAAAAGTTTTAGTCTCATGTAGCAGCATGAAAATTGCGTAACATGGTGTACTAGTCTTAATTAGGCTACTGTGTTCACTAGCAATATAAATGGATTATTTAAGTTGCTTAATTTATTCTAAACAATGTAATGATTACTATAAACTATATTTGTATATTGGTTAAAGCTAAGTATACCTCAAATAAAACCAATAAAAGTGGGTCTATTTTGCCTTAAACTTCATGTCCATCAATCCAATGAATGCAGGCTACAAATTGCCTTGTGGATCGTGCACTCTTTCAGACCGACGATAATAGACTGATTCTTTTCACCGCGGTGTGAATACGTCAACAAAACAACTTGAGCAGTATGAATGGCGTTTCGTGTCCATTTATTGAAACTATTTGGGGGCAAACATAGTCCCCGGCCATCAGTATTCTCAAAATGTCCCTGGCATGCCGTTGTGTTTAGTTTTTAAGTGTAAATCTCTTTTGTGGCCGTAATATATGGCTTTAGTGGCCTGTCCTAAGCCTGTTTCAGTCAGTTCATTACTACACAATTACCGTCCACGCTTCATTAGCACCTCTATCTTTCACTGGAGCGCTCTGAATGACTGCTCTCCCTTGTTACCATACCAATGCTTTTGGGAACCAAGCAATGTGCTAATTAGTTTCCTCAATCCGTAGCCTATCACTCAAACGGACTGGTTTAAAAAACTTTAAAGCCCAACTTTCATTCCATGGCCAAAGGCTACTTCCTGTTCTTAGAAAACACCCATAGCTTATTTTGAGAGAAACGTTGATTTTAATTACTTTGTTTGGTTGTTTCTCATAGCGTCGTCTTCAGCAGTGCATATTCCCGGAACTTTCGCATGGCCACTCACGGCTCGAGGGAAGCCGAGGAGAGGAATGCTTCGACGGGCCGTCTTCTCTGACATGCAGCGAAAAGCGTTGGAAAAGATGTTTCAGAAACAAAAGTACATCAGCAAACCAGACAGAAAGAAACTGGCGACGAGACTTGGCCTCAAAGATTCTCAGGTAAGCTGATGTTGTCCACAAAGACTTTTTATATGTCCTTTTGTGGGTGTCATGTCTTGCAAACTCTTTCTCGTCAGGTAAAAATTTGGTTCCAAAATCGAAGAATGAAATGGCGCAATTCCAAAGAAAGAGAGCTTCTTTCATCAGGAGGTTGCAGGGAACAAACATTGCCGACGAAAATGAACCCCAATCCTGACCTGGGCGACATTGGAAAAAAGTTTGAAACTGACGTGGCTCTGCGAGAAAGCCCGCACGCGCCTTTCTGTCAGCCGCGCGGGGATCACGAGCTCAACGTAGCTTTGCATTTCACTTCGCCTTCCATCTCCAGCAATCACTCAGACTTCTCAGAACCAGAGGACGAGGAAATAACCGTGTCATAATCATGAAGCAGATTGTGTAATTTGCAATGAATTATGTTTATGCACAAAACTGGAGAAAAACTTTAAGAAAAGTGGCCTTGTTTGACACGGTAGCTGTGTGAACTTTGATAGGAAACCTTTCAGTTGAAGAGAGAACGTTGCAGCCGCTGCGTTTTTGGCAGCTTGTATAGTGTTGTGTATGAATAATTTGTATGGAATTTTTATACCAAGATTATTATAATCTTTCTTAATGATTTGGTATACGTTGTCTATAATCTTAAATACGTAGATGGCACAATTCTAACTGAAAAGTCTTATATTTTGTATACTGATGTTTTTGTAAAAAGTGTATATACACATGTGAAAAAAATATTTTTTACAAATTAAAAACCCAAAAGCAAAATACCAAATTTTTCGTTTTTGTTTGTCTTCCCTGAAAATAAAATTGTGTTATTTACATGACCCAGTATACAACAGCTGTATGATTTTTGACCAAATGGAAATCATGACATTTTTTCTTAACCTATATATTTATATCTGAGAGCCTGGTGTTTCAGCAAACTATTTTATATAAAAAATGCATATATATATATATATATATATATACATATATATATATATATATATATATATATATTGTTTTTTTTTGGTTTTTCAGCAAACTATTTTATAAAAAAAAAAAAAAAAAAAAAAAGCGATAATCCAAAATGGATCACATTTCCTAGTAGTTCATGGTCCCCGATATTACCATACCTGCCAATAAGGTGAATGAAACAATGTCACTACTTGTTTACTTCCTCCCCAACTTCTGACAAAACACAATGGTTGACAGTTTGTCACCGAATAACTGACATGACTCATAGTTGGGCAGGAAAATGATCACATTTACTCCAAAAAGGGTCACATGCAATCAAGTTGAGACTGAAAAAGATCATTAAACATTAACAACAACTTTACATAAAACAATTCCTCTTAAAGACTACACAAACAAATAAAACATGAGGCAATATAGTACAACTGAAAATATACACAAACTCAATCAAAATTCAGTCTTGTTTCTGAAATTACCAGCAATTTATAAGTAGATACTAACTGCATTTAAAAAAATATATATATTTTCATATAAACTCATTTCTTTATTTTCCACACAAAGGTTTTCACCTGTAGAAGTGTTCAAAGGAAACAAATATATTGGCAGTACTTGAAGCACAGCAAACTATCTGGTGGGATCTAACAGAAAAAACTAAATTAAGAAATACTGCATAAGGTCTTCTATTAAAACAAGTTCTAGAAAATTATTTTAAAACGAACCATTGAAAAAAAAAAAAAAAAAAAGTGTCTTTTTCTAGTTAAACAAAATGCAATCTTTCAAATAAAGCAACTCTCAGTAATCTACTTGGACTTCATGCAAATGTTTGCCACATTAGGAAGACACACTAACCCCCAATTCAGGCTAAATCACATCACACAGATCCTTGTGCCGGACCTTTTTAAATGTACAACTACCCCATGATCTTCTGTATGTATAGACCTCAATGACTGACACAATAGAACATAGGTCTTCAAACCTGCTCCTGGGGACCCACTGTCCTGCAAAGTTTATTTCCAACCTGCTTCAGCACACCTGGCCTGTAACTTTAGAAGTTGATCCTGAAGATCTTGATTATCTGGTTCAGAGGTGTGTTTGATTAGGGTTGGAGCTGAACTCTGCATGCACAGTGGGTCCCCAGGAGCAGGGTTGAAGACCTATGCAATAGAAGGTTCTTTCTCCCCTCAACAAGTATTTTTAGATAAACATACTCTCACACTGAACAAAGTAGACTCATTTTATGCTGTACTTGTAGAATTATAAGAATCTATAAAAGTGTGGTCAGTTTTGGTTTTAAGCCTTCCTGATATCAACAGTATTGCAAGGTAATAATGCCTCTATATTGTCTGTAATGGTTTTTATTCATTGAGATTGTTTGGTAAAACCTTTTCTGTTGTTGACTAAAGTTTTACGAGAGATTCTGTTTTGATGAAGTTAAATATTCTTTGAATGTAACAATATTGCATAGAGAATATTGTACTGTATTGTACTATTGTAATATTGAATATTCTATACAATATTGAATATTGTATAGAGGCACAAACTATGCTCCTGGCACAAAATGATAGAACTTTCATAAGATAATCATATCATATTTGCTTTCAATGTTATCAATACTTTTCCAAACACCTCTTTATGTTATGCAAGTGTGTTACCAAAACTCTGTTTTGTTGCTGAAAGGCAAACACAATATAGTTCATATTTCACTATATTTCTGTCAGGTGAGGTCCCACAGATAGTGCATCATTCGAAGGCTATAATGTCCTTGCATTATTTGTATTTGTATAAAGTTACAAATCTTTAAGACAAGCTAGCCTGTCTCAACTTATAACAAGAGTTGTAAGGCATTATTATAAAGTTCAGCACCAAAGTTGTTCGCTAGTACATAAGTCACCCAACATTAGATACTATTTAGAAAGTTTAATATATGACTGAAAATAAACATGAATTGGCAAGAGTTTTGAATTTAAAAGGAGTTGTTACAGCTCAACAAGGTTTGTCTCCTTTTTGAACACATTTATACCGCCATCTAGTGTCCATTTCAGGAAATGACAATCTCTGATGAATATTTAACTTTTGAACGTTATTTTCTTGTATTTCAGGTGATGATTAGGGTGCGATGTGACTTACTGAGCAATAATGATTTTTCAGGGTTTCCAGCACCCTGTTTTGCAGGTTACCAGCACCAAGATTAATATAAACGCCGAATTTGATATTAAAAGGTCTCAGAAGAGTCCAGCATGTCATCTTGGTGACTGTTGTTGGTAGAATCACTGTCGTAGCTCTCCGTCCCTGTGCAGTGAGCGGTCTCCTTCAACCTCATTAACATATTCATCTGTGGTAATAGGAACAGGTTATTACATGTA